ACTTTGGTTTTCTAATCATAGTAAACTTCTGTTTACACCCTTAAATCTGTCGAAGAAGAAGACGGCGAATTCTAAGTACTTTATCTTAAGATTCTTGTACGGTCATCTCACCAACTGCTTTTTTTGGTTTATTTTTTTGTAGGATACCCAGTTCTGCTTATGTTGAGGTTAGTTCTTTCGCAGATCTAATTTTGATAGTGGTTTTGATTTGAAGTTTTGGTTTTTTATGGTTGTTTTTGGTGCAAGATCTGATTTTTGGAGTTATTTAAAAATACCCAGATGGGGGATTTTAGTTGTGGGGAGTTTAGTTTGGTTTGAAGGCTAGTTTGATGCTGTTTGAGTGAGGTTTGAATGTGAAAGTTTTGATTTTGAAGTGTTTTGTGTAGGTGGCTGATGCTAGTTTTTGTTATGTTTTGAGTTTTGTAGAACCATGTTTTGTTGGTATTGAGAAAATTGCACAATGAGCACAAATTGATGGATTCGTTTAAGTTATCTTTCTGTTAATATAAGAAGAGATGGAGGTTAAGTTAAGATTGGAGGGAACGCAATCCAATCTTGAAGTAAGTTTCTTCATTGCTTGTTACTCGGTTTCTTTTAGATGATAATGTTTTATGACCATGATAGGATTGTTGAGACTGTATTTTTTATTGGTTGTAATCAATATATATTTTGTTATAGCAGATGGGTTCATTAGACGATAGATCAGTGAGTGACTTTGAGGATGAGAGTCTTTTTACTCCGGAAGCGGAATCTCAAAAGGCACAACCTGTTCTTGAATGTGAACATGAGCCTATTTCTTTGGCTTCAACATCTCGTGGAAATAAAAATTTGCGGAATGGCGTGTATAAGAGCATAAAGACTGTTGTTTTCTCGAATAAACTCAATTTGCTTATGCCTTTTGGGCCATTGGCGATCATGGTTCATAACCTGACTGGTCATAAAGTGAGTTCAGTTGTTGATATTTGTGTATTGGATTGTTTGCTTATTGTTGCAAAAGTATGTTTTGGTTAATTTGTTGAGATGGATTCAGGGATGGGTCTTCTTTCTAAGCTTGCTGGGTATAACTCCTTTGGCAGAGCGTTTAGGTTATGCTACAGAGTAAGCTTTCATATTTCTCTATGTCAATTATTTTGTAAAGTTTTTGTTTGTTTAGTAGCTAATATGGCTTTCTCATTTTTTGATACAGGCAACTGGCCTTTTACACTGGTGCTACAGGTATAATTCTCATAGAGATTTAATGGGTAACTGATCAGTTGTAACTGTTGTTTTTGTCTTCTGAGTTAATCAGAGTATCTACTATTTTTTTATTAGTTTTCGGTCGGCAGATATGAAGTGCTTTCCTTGTGAAATAATGACAGTTTGAGCTTGAGAATACATAGTCAACTTGTGTGGATATAGGATTCATCTTTTTCAGCCATTTTTAATTAGAACTACAATAATTGGTATCTAGCTAAATTGTTGAGAAAAAAATAATCTTTCTGTCCTTTCCATTGTCTTTCTTCCTTCTTTCTGTGGCTAACTTCAATCAAAATCAAATGCGCAAAATTGAATTTAGGCATTTTTCTCATGCATTACTTGCGTTTTGCTTACCTGTGTTCCACTATCGCTCCAACTTATGAGTATATTCAATGGACTTTACAGTTGGGGGCCTTTTGAATGCTACATTTGGAAATGCAACGGAACTGATTATATCAATTTATGCTCTGAAAAGCGGTATGATACGTGTCGTTCAGCTCTCATTATTAGGCTCAATTTTGTCAAATATGTTGCTGGTGCTTGGATGTGCATTCTTTTGTGGCGGTCTTGTTATTCGGAATAAGGAACAGCGGTTTGATAAGGTAGATATGGAAGCATCTTATCCTGGTCCTTTTGGCCTATCATGTGCTTTTGAATTGCATCACTGAGCCAAGTTATCATGCAGGCATCTGCTGTTGTGAATTCGGGACTGTTATTGATGGCAGTCATGGGCCTGCTCTTTCCAGCTGTTCTTCACTACACACATACTGAGGTGCATTTTGGAAGGTCAGAGCTGGCTCTTTCAAGGTTTAGCAGTTGTGTTATGCTAGTGGCATATGTTGCCTATCTTGTTTTCCAATTAAAAGGTCAACGAGAGCCATATCTCCCTCTCACTGAGGTTGGTTACCACTTTTAATACAAACAAGTTTTACTTTTTCTTGTTTTGTCTGGAATAATTAGTGGTGTGATAATTGGTGTGAACTTAGGAAGAGAATCAGGCCACGGATGCTGCTGATCATGATGATGGCGGTGATGAAGAGCCAGAGATCTCAAAATGGGAATCAATTATTTGGCTTTTAATTATGACAGCTTGGATATCTTTCTTATCAGAGTATCTAGTCGATGCTATACAGGTGACATTTGGTTGGCTATATACTTTCCTTTGTTGATTAGAAATCTTGATTGTATCTTTCCTTACATGTAATTGAGCTGGTGCAAATAGATCTTACTGTTGATAAATTCATGTTAATTGGTGTTTCTCTGTGAAAGTTTAATAGGGGTTATACTTACAATCAAAGCTACTTTTGCAGTATGTGAAACTGCAATTGTCTGTTTCCAAGACTATCCTTGATACGCTTTCTCTGGTTATTCCTGTTTTGTAGGGAGCGTCGGTTGCATGGAGCATTCCAATTTCATTTATTAGTGTTATATTACTTCCAATTGTAGGGAATGCTGCAGAGCATGCAAGTGCTATCATGTTTGCCATGAAGGACAAACTTGTGAGCAGTTTCTCCATATCTTGCTCTAGCAATTCTTGATACTATTACAATGCCTTGTACTAATGTAAAATTTCTCTGCAGGACATATCTTTGGGAGTGGCAATAGGATCATCAACACAAATATCCATGTTTGGGGTAGGTTGCAAAGATCGGATTACCCTTTTGTTGTTTATTACTTCCATTTTGTTTTAGTTTTGCTTCATTTGGAATGGTACGTCTAAAAACTTTGGGTTATTGTCGTTGCCTCAGATTCCGTTTTGCGTGGTTATTGGATGGATAATGGGTCGCACTATGGACTTGAACTTTCAACTTTTTGAGACAGCAACTCTTTTCATAACTGTCATAGTCGTTGCCTTCTTTCTGCAGGTTAGTACCTTTTATACCAAGATCTAAATTATTAGTTTTTATACTTTTGGTAACATGTGTAGTTATATATTGAGTTTGTTTTCATCTTATGGTTGCCGTTCTGTTTGCAGGAAGGAACATCTAATTACTTTAAAGGACTTATGCTCATTCTTTGTTATCTGATAGTCGCTGCAAGTTTCTTTGTACATGAAGATTCTTCTTCCGAAGGTAAGCGGTAGATGAAATTTTACCTTTACTTGTTGGTAATCTCTTGTGCTTTTGAATCAAATTTTATCATTGTATGAACACATCCTTCATACCACTTTTGGAATGAATTTCAATGTTGCAGATGATAAGAAATTAAAAACGTAGTCAACGAAGCAATCTGTTGTAAGGCAAAAAAATTCCTGAAGCTTTGGTCATACATCACTGTGTATATAGACAGCTTTCAGCCGCACCATTTTCCAGGTGTGCCCTTGCCCCTTGTTCGGTCAATTGAGCAGGTGTCTTGATGTTTTTGTTCTTTATTGTATCAGTACCTGCTTTGATGCTAAATGTATGTTTATGATGAGTAAGAAAATTGTGCATATTTTAGAGAATAACAATTCATTTCTCTTCGCAATGTAACTCTTCCTTCATTCTTTTGATTGGATTTCCATTCATTCCTTTCTCTGTTGTGTTCCTTAACTTCGCCATGCCGAGCTAACTCTATAAAGATCTGTTAAGATATCGCTCTAAATTCTGTTTAGATTTCCAGACAAGTCTGATCTAACTTCGGAACTTGGAAAAAGGTAAGAGAAGCTACAAGATAAACAATAAGATTTCCCTTTGTGGAACCATACATTTGTTACCATTCGTGATATGACATTAGTTCCAACTTTCTGATTCAACCAAAATGGCATCACAGAATCACCTTTTGCACTTTCTTGGTTCACAATTTTTCATCTGTCTCTTGCTTCAGTACCGTTCTGCTGCAACCCCACTTGTGAACTGAGTCTACCAAGGGACTCAAGACCCCAAATTTTGTGTTGAAATTAGTGTTTTAAAACCCGGCTAGTTAAATTATTTATTTATTTATTGAAAGCCCTAGAAATTAAGACATCAATCTGTGAACAATTGAAGGTTAGAATGTTAGGGCTTTGGAAGAGGAATGGCAGGTGGGTGCAATGGTGGTAACATCGCCAATTCTCGATGAGTGAATCAATCGAAAATCACAAGATTGTGTTGTCGGAAAAAGCTCACTATCGTCGGTGACTGGGGAGGCTAATAGGGGAGGGGTGAGATGTGTTTTGGTCAGGAGGCTGATGGGAGTGTTTTCATGGTGATGGGGAGTGTTGTCGTCGTCGGAAACAAGCCCTATTTGTCTACGCCGACGGTGGTGTTTAGGGTGTTTTTGCAAGATTTCAAATCTATATAGACTTATATAATTTTTATGGGTATTTTTTATTAGATTTCAAATTTTTAGACCCTGGTTTGACTCGTTGGTCAAACCAATTAAATCGGTCAATCCGAGATCCATCCACTTTGTCGAGTTTCACTCCAAGTTGGGTTTTAAAACACTGGTTGAAACTCATTGATTTCTCGATCTAGCCGGGCTCTAGTCATCGAAGACCGAACTCATGACGTCAAGTGTGACGGCAGCCAAACAGTAGTGAGGTTACTTAAATTTAACAACAAAACTAATATATATTTGCTACCAAATTCAAAAGCTATTATCCCGAACGCATATACTAATCTCTCTTAGGGATAACCAAGTCCATGCGTCATCTAGTTTGCGAGTCTAATGAATTCACTTTCTAAAATTAATCTGAATTTGGCTACTTTGGCTATATATGAGTTGCCATTCCTACTTTGGCTATGCACAATGTGATAATATTGCGAGGATTATGCATTAAACGGCAAGATCATCTAACTTCAATGGTTTTAACTAGTGCCAGATTGCGCACACAATAACACTTTCCGAATTTGAAGCCATTAATTTTGTAACCATATATGAAATGATCACCAATCACTATTATCATATAAAATTTATTCAACTTTTCTGAATCCCTTAATCAAAATGGCCATTGAAAATCACCATTTCCTGTTTCTTGTTTCACAACTTGTTATCATTCCCCTCTTGTTTCAACACTCCTCTTTTGCTGCAACCCAACTTGTGAATCAGGTATGTCAGGACACTCAGGACTCTGATTTCTGCGTTCGAACTCTCAGTGCAGATCAACGATCAGGCAACGCCGACCTCAGGGGACTGGCTCGAATCGCATTGGAGTTAAGCTCCGCTCAGGCTAAGGGCACACAGGATCAAATTCAGACTCTACTTAGCCGGGAACCGGGGCTGGATTTCAAGAGTGTTCTTGATCATTGTACTATAAATTATGCAGGGTCAGTTTATGCATTACAACAAGGACTTCAAAGTTTGGATGCTAATGATTATTCCAATGCAAATGAAATGGCTCAGGTTGGCTGGGAAAATGGAAACGACTGTGAGCGTGTGAATAGTGGAAGTGTCAAAGATGTATCACTTACAGGTTCCAATCAAATAATGGTGAAACTTTGTGATATCTCTAGGGTTGTCACTGCAAAACTTGAAACTGGTAAATAAGTTGTTGTTACAATAAGAGCATGTTATTGTATGAGAGAGTTCCATGAAGCTCCCTTGTGTTCTTCTCCTTGAAACACATAATCTTTTCTAGTTGTGAAACAAATATAATAAAGGAAAAAATGTTGATTATATATATATATATATGTTATTAAGAAAACCAGTATTAGACAATTAATACTACATGTACAAATCCTGATTGAAATCAATACTGTATCCAAATTGATTGGTGTTTATAAAAAAAGTTTATAGATATTCAATACATGTTAATGAATGATATGTCATTAAAAAAGTTATAAGGCTTTCTCAAAAGGCAGAACGATTTACACCTACCTAAGGTTTGGAGAAACGACAGATTAGTACTCAAAAGGTTTCAAAAAGACAAACAGATACCTTTCGTTCGGGAAAAGACTAGAATGCCTTTTGAGAAATATTTGTCTATTTTTTTAATTACTTTTAGACCCCTTAAGTTTATTAATTCCATTAAATACCCCTAAAAAAAGTTTAAAAATTAATAAAAACACCCCCACCCACCCATACTTGCCAGATTCCGGCGGCCACTGCCGGTGGTAGCCGGAATCTGTCACAACGGTCTATGCTACCACCGAAAATGGCCGGTAGTTCACCGATCTGGCCGTTTTCGGCCAGATCGGTGAACTACCGGACATTTATGGTGGTGGCCGCGGGAATCTGACAAGTATGGGTGAGTGGGGGTGTTTTTGTTAATTTTTAAACTTTTTTCTGGGGGTATTTAATGGAATTAATAAACTTAAGGGGACTAAAAGTAATTAAAAAAATAGACTAATATTTCTCAAGGGCATTCTAGTCTTTTCCCTAATGGAAGGTACTTGTTTGTCTTTTTGAAACCTCTTGGCTCTTGGATACCAATCTGTCGTTTCTCCAAACCTTGGGTATGTGCATGTCGTTTCCCCTTCTCAAAATACACTAGAACGTTTGTAGTGTTGAGTAAATGACTTTTTCCCACCCAAGGTTTGCCTTAATGACACTTTCCCACCTAAAAAGTTTCAAAATACTAATTTTCAACCCAAAGTTAATATTCTGTTTTTACCCAAAGCCGATTTTGGCAGTGAAAATTCTCTTCGTCATCGCCATTTGAACCTCTAGTATCCTCTCTATAAAAACCTTCTCACTTTGAAACTTGATTTCTCGTCGATTGCCGATCATCGCAAAGTTAGAGTTTCCTGTTCTTATCTGATTTTCGACTGATTTTGGCGGTAAATATTTAATCGGTCACCACCATCAAATCCACCGGCTTTCACTTTATAAAACCCCTCTTATCCTGACTTTTGATAACTCATTGCATGTCAGTTGAAAAAGTGAAGTGTATTTTAAGTATTTACGAGATATAAACTTTAGGTGAGCAAGTGTTGTAAAAATTATTTGGCTTGGAAAGTGTCATTAAGGCAAACCTTGGGTGGGAAAAAGTGATTTACTCTTGTAATGTTTATCCAAATTTTACATACTTAAAATGTGTGCTAATTAGGCATGTCCTAATAGCATTTAGCAATTATTGAAAATTTGTAAAGAAGAGATTGATCCCATTTGTAAAAGCTACATGATTCATATTTCAAAATCAAATGAGTAGAGTGGGCACTAACTTTATATTAATTCTTTTTCAATATGGGATTCATTATGTTTTTTAATTTAGCAGAGGCCCTTTTGTTCATAAAATATCTTGTCAACTGGGTCCTGGGGGCTTGCTATCAAGGTTTTATAAAGTCTATAGTTTCATCAGCAATAATTGTGGTTGTGGGGTTACTTTGTTTTGTTAATAAAACTAAGGGTTTATTAGTGTTACCCCTAAGGTTTGGCTCAAATTCAGTTTAGGCCAAACAATTGGAAGTTTTGGTCAAACGGTAAACAATTTTGGCTTGGGAATTATACAATTGTTGAAAGTAAAAGTGGTCAGTCATTGACCAAAACCGCCAACAGTTTACACAAAATATCTTGGGTTGTGTTTTGCTTATTGTATTTATCCATATTTTCAATCCTATTCTTCAAATGTTGTTTGGCACGTTATTTCCAAAATATTAGTCTATTTTTTAATTACTTTTAGACCCCATAAGTTTATTAATCTCATAAATACCCCCCAGAAAAAAGTTTAAAAACTAACAGAAACACCCCCATCCACAATACTTGCCAGATTCTGGCAATCACCGCCGGTGGTAGCCGGAATCTGTCACAACAGTCACACGACCACTGAAAATGGCCGGTAATGGCCAGATCTGGCCTTTTCCTGCCAAATCTGCCATGGATCTGGCCGGAAAAGGCCAGATCTAACGGCCAAAAAAATGGTCGGCGTTGACTGTCAACGACGACCAAATCTTGGCTATCGTTGATATACAATGACGGCCATATCTTTGGCCGTCACTGACGGCCAAAGTTGGCCTTTTCCAATCGTCGAAGGCCACATCCGGCCTTAGATTTGGCCTTTTCCGGCCAGATTTGTGGTGGATATGGCTGGACAAGGCTATATCGATCGAATACCCGCCAGATTCGATCAGATTTTGTAGTTATCTAATTTTTCGGCCAGATTTCGGCGGTGGTGGCCGAAATCAAGCACTTTGAGTGTTAGTGGTGTTTTTGTCATTTTACAATATTTTAATATATTGGGGTGTTTATTAAATTAGCAAATCTTGGGGGTTTTTTCATAAATTTTTAAATTTTATCTCGTAATACTCTCATACTCAACCATCCAATACTATCTCCAAAATCATACCCAAAATAATAAACCAAATGCACCCTTATCTATCCTTTACACCGTTATATTTAACTAATATAATCTCTATTTTTAAGGGTGTCAGTGTTAGTTTCCCAAAGTTAGAGGGGAAGAACTTTTTCGTACTAAACCTCAGGGGGAAAATGTTAGGCCATAAAACTAATATTAGCCACTAATAATGCTAGTAGTTGGTTAAATATTATATTAAGTGCCTGTTCTTTTATGCTTTTTTATAAAAACTTTGAAAAGCAACTGTGTAAATAGGTCCAAATTCCAGGCATTGGTTGATACAAATTCTTTGATGCTCTTTGGCTATGGGGTTTCTGTCTTTTTCTTCATGCATACATATACTCCATTGGTCATCCTTTTCCTTTTATGGGAGCTGCTTCCTAAAAAAATCAGCTAATCTGATGCAACATGACAAGAATAAAGTTAAATGTTGACAGTGACTTGGAAAGAAAATATCAATCCCTTAAAAGCTGTTAATCAACGATGCTTCATGTGATCAAAAACTTATAAATTTTTCGTTTCCTCACCTAATTGTTTAGGTATGTATATGAATGGCTAGGAAATGTAAGACTTCGAACAAAACTTCCATGGCTGGTTAACTTCAAGGAATGAGCCAATTGTGAAAGGTTACTTAATATGGGACATAAAGGAAAATGGAGTTTCAACGTATGACTTAGTTTTCAACTACCCTTCTCTGATTAGATGTGTTTGATTAAATTATACCTCGATATAACCACCTTGACTTATTTGTTTAGGTTTCGCTGTTTCTGACCATTTTATAAGAATTTGTAATGAGTTTACTTGTGATGACAGAATAGGTCACAAACTGGTGAGAATTGAGATCATCAAATCTTGAAGAAGAAACATGGGTGATTTAGCAGAAGAAGAACAACAGTTGCCATTAGTTGGAAGCTTGTCTTCACCTGATGCATCAGAAGAGTCTATTGAAAGAACTGGTAATTAATCTTTTCTTAACTCTTTCTGTTTTGGCTTCAATTTCTTAAATTAGTTAAGGCAGAACTCGGTCTTCTGCTTTCTATCAGAAACTAGCTGGCTTGTGATTAAAATTCCCAGGTTTTAACTTCTTCAGTTACCATCCCAGAACAAGGCTTTCTGATAGTTTTGTATCTTTGTTTAGATTAAGATTAGTCTTGAGCTATATGACTATGGACACTTCTGACAGAATCAAAAAGAATTTAAAGAGTTTCCACCTCTTACTAGGACATTTTACATTCCTAAAACTTGCTGGAAAACTTGATTCCAGGATCCAAATTCAGGCGATTTCGCTAGCTACAGGACTGAATTTTTCGATCAACTGCATAAACTTCATCATCATTAATCGCTAAGAAAATTATTCAGTTTTATTGATCTCATGAAATTTGTTTCCCTTGTCTCATTTCTGCCTAACTCATAGTGTAAATATTGACTTTCTTTGGAGTTGTCGACTACTTCAGCACTAATGGGTTATGTAGACGGTTTGGGTCTTTTCCATGTATAACTGTTGTAGGATTTCTTTAAGTCATTAATTCCTTATTGGGTTTGGATTTAGAAATATGAATCCTTGTAAAACTAGGTTTTGTCACTTTAAACTTAGTATAAACATATTTTTCTCTTGTTATGAGTGTGATAGTAATTATAGGACAATTCATTCATTGTAAAAGAGAGAGGTGAGGAAGTATTACATTAATATTGACTCGGTTAGACGTAGCCCATATTGAGTGAACCAGAGTAAATCGCACATGTTATTTTCTCTTTATTTACTGTCTGTGATTTGTTTTATTGTTATTTTGTTCTCGTTAATGCCTCTATTTCCTTCATCTTCATCATTTAATTCCAACCAAACTTTACAGTTGCATCTCATTTGTTTTTCTTGAAGGGACCATATGGACTGCCCTGGCACATATTATAACAGGAGTGATAGGAGCTGGAGTGCTATCTCTAGCATGGAGCACAGCTCAACTAGGATGGATTGCAGGTCCATTATGCATACTAGCCTTTGCTGGTGTCACTGTTGTTTCTTCAACCCTTCTTACGGATTGCCATCGATACCCAGATCCTGAATTTGGTCACATCAGAATCAGGTCCTACACCCAAGCTGTGAAATTTTATTTAGGTGAGAAACTACAATCAATATTGAGCCATGACTTGACTGTATTATATATAATAACTTGCAACTTACTTCACATTTTAGAACTTTATAATATGTGTTCCCAATTAGTATAAATAAGCAACTGATTTTTGCATAAACAAAAGAAATATAAATGCCATTCTCAGCTATCCCATTCCTCTCAGAGTCACATGTGAATAGAAGAATCAATAATTTACTATTATATATGCCCATGTGCAGGATCATAATTTCTCATAACAGAGACAAGACATGTGAATCATTGGTACTTGGACAAATAATTATATAATATAATTGATATTGTCAGGGGACAAGAGCAAACGGATATGTGTAGTATTGGCACAAGAAAGCTTATGGGGTACTGGAATTACCTATACCATGACAACTGCTACAAGCATAAGGTATGAAACTTGATCCCATCTGCAATTTCTAACTCTTCTTCTATGTGAATCATTAAACTCTTTAAATTGTGCTGTTATGTTCCTCTTTTTGTACATTTTGTCTGGATCTCATTGGTGTTACATACATGAGGGGACCTCAGCTTTAGGCCTCCTGAAATTTTCATTAATCTTAGATTCTTAGCTTACATTGCTGCAGAGAAGTGTGTATGCCATTGTTTGCTTGACATGATTTTGTTGTTCTGGCCCTGGAATTGTGCTATTTTAGCTACTTTATTTTAGGTGATTTGGCAAGAAAGAAACAAATATTTGAAGATAAAGTTGATATCGATATATTTGTCTTAAATAATGGTATGATATGATATATGTGGTAGAGTTTGTACCTAAAAACCCACTTGGTGTTAGGCCCTTTCTAGATAAGATCATCATGGACTTGATATACCAAATTTCTGGTTCTTAGAGTCAAATGTCAAGCCATCTGGATGCATGCATTGGCATTATAAGGAGGGAAAAAAGCAAAGAGTGACACTCGCTGTCACCGGTTGAGAGATATGTGGGCTAAAGAGACAGAGAGAGATGACATGCTAATGGTTAAGAATCTGACAGCAATACAACCAATTGCTTTGCTCTGATACCATGTTGAAAATCGATGGAGTAAAAAATAAAGAACAACACATAATAACACAGAGGCACATGATATTTTATGTGGTTCCACAAAACTTGCATACATCCACGAATGAGAAAGTTTTCACTATAATATTATGAATACGATACAAGTGTTTCATTACACCATCAACCTAATACCTTTATTTAGGCGAAAGTCTCGTTCCTATGGTGTTTAATATCTTATGGTATTCGTCTTGTACCCTCACATTTTCTCTTTTTCTTATTCTCTCTCTCATAATCTTAAATTAGTTCTAACCCATCTATTTATAGGTAAAATAGGATATTCTTTTCCTACTAGGATTTATATTTCTAATCATAATAGGACTCCTTTAATTTAATTCATTATCCTATTTTAACTCTAAATAAAATCCTAAACCAATTCTTCTTTCCTAATAAAACTCAAAGTAAAAGAAAAATAGATATTCTCAATTACAAACTTTTAAACTAGAAATTTACCTAAAACTTAAATTTTCTTTTCTTCTTGTTTGTCTTTTCTTCGTCAATTACCAAAAAGTGTTCACATTCCAACACTAATACTAGCAAATTGGGAATTTGAAACAAAGGCTGGCTGGTGTGACATAACAGAGATCACTATTCTTCTGTTGGTTTACTTTACACTTGGAAACATTTTACTGAGTCAACTTACAAACACAAAATTCTAAATTAAAATCAATTAGTGGGTCCATTTCCCTATGCTAGTTGTTCAAAAGTGAAGAAATATGCCTTTTTGCCTAGAACCAAAAGCAAAATGCCAACGTGAATTGTGACACATGCTCATAGAAGAGACATTCTTAAAGATTACATCTAAAGATATACGAATTTTCTTTGGTACATACATCCGCATTTTTTTTTAAATCCGAACTGAAACTACTTTCATCAGCTATTAAGCTAGGATTTTGAAAATTCAAGAGGTCCATAAGAGAGAAGAACTCTTAATAAAGTAACAAGTGGCTGTTGTACTTTGAAATTTTGATATTTCTTTCAAAGTTCCGTTAGACCTCAAGATGACTCCTATTCTACCTAGAAGAGAAAACATTACCAATGAGTTGATTATTTAGAATATAACTACAACAAAATTCCAAAGTTTCCTTTATTTTTCTGTGGATAACTATTCTACCTAGAAGAGAAAACATTACCGATGAGTTGATTATTTAGAATATAACTACAACAAAATTCAAAGTTTCCTTTATTTTTCTGTGGATAAGAAACGTGCTAAAGATTAGAACTAATGTAGATTGAAAATAACTACAGAAGAAAGAAAAAAATAAAGCTAAGCAAAGTTAGTGTGGTGGAACCTGCACTGACAGAAAGGTTTATATCTTTTTTTTTTTGGCAGAAAGGAAATGGTCCTATCTTTCTTGGCCATTTATGTTGATTTCACTAAAAGTGAAAGTCAAAAAGAAAAAAGGAGAACATTTGTGGCTAACGTGAACATGATTGTCATGGCTCTATTATTGAAGGTTCAAGTGTCGTCTTCTTGCCAATGGAAGATTCCTTATGTTAGCATAAAAGGTTGTCATGGCTCCATGAAGGTCGCCAGACTGGTTTAAAGTTCTTGAAAATCTTTCAAGTTGTGGAGCAGCTAGTTTTGTTCAAGTAAATGATAGAGTTCTTCCTTTACAACTCCTCTGTCTTCTAGTTGGTAAGCATATGCCAATTCAATTGACTTAGCTAGTATAAAAGTTTTACAAGGAAAAAGCTCATAGTATAATATAGTTATGGTTTTTGAGTCATGTGAGAGTAATTTAGATTTTTCTAGTGTCATAAAAACAGAAAGTCTAAGTTTTTTCTAAGCCTTTTTGTGTGCCTTATGATAAAAACAAATTAAGCGGCGACAAATACTTCCAAGGATGGTGTAAATTAGGCAATAATAGGGAAATTAATGTTGTATCTAAGCTTCTGATGTAATAAGTTTTGTTTCATTGCATCAATGCATATATAGCACAATGTTTATAGCTGGCTACTAGCCTTAGGCCCTTTGAATTGGGTATACAGGTTGTAAAATCTCGCCAAAATTTCATTGCCTAGCGCGATTGGACGAACATGGCAGTTGATCATTCTCTGGAACTAGCTAAGGTTTCCTGTGATGATGACGATGGGCAGATAAGAACTGGTAACACATTTCCAGGACTCAAATATAGACTAAAATTTATTATCTTTTCTTGCAAATTTCAATCCAATCTTGAATTTGCTGCCTGTGGGAAACTCGATCAGGAACCTTATGGAGTTGCGTTGCGCATATAATTACTGCTGTTATTGGCTCTGGGGTTCTGTCTTTGGCATGGAGTACTTCACAGCTGGGATGGATAGGAGGGCCAGTTGCCTTGCTTTGTTTTGCAATCATCACCTATGTTTCTGCTTTCCTTCTTGCTGATTGTTATAGGTCCCCCGACCCCATAAAAGGAACCCGAAACCGTACCTACACTGATGCTGTTAGATTGAATCTTGGTTAAGTAGAAACACTAGCCCTCTCATTTTGTTCTTTTGGGTCAGAAATTTTCTTCTTGTGGATAGGTCTCTTTACATGTCTCCTAATTTCATTTAGTGATAGTTCAGGTAAAATTCATACATGGTTTTGTGGTTTGCTTCAATATCTGAGTTTTTATGGGACATCTGTTGCTTATGTTATTACTACTGCAGCCAGTATAAGGTACTCTCTTTGCAAACGCATTGATTTGTGTCTTTCATTTAGCTCATGACTCCTGACAGCCCTGAAATTTTTTATATTTAGTTGTTGTTTTTTGTGTATCTTCCCTGTTCTTTTCTGGTTCATTTAAATCAATAGAGCTCCTATATTGATCCCTTTTTATTTTTTATTTTTTTTTATTTTAATGCTGATTAACCCAGAGCAATTCAGAAATCAAACTGTTACCACAGAAAAGGGCATGATGCTCCATGTGCATACGGAATTACCAAATATATGCTGCTCTATGGAGCTGTTGAGATTGTTTTTTCGCAGATACCGGATCTTCATAACATGGAATGGCTCTCAGTTATTGCAGCAATCATGTCCTTTACCTATTCTTTCATAGGATTTGGACTTGGTCTTGCAACAGTGATAGGTATGGCTGGGACTTGAGCTTTGTGAATTGTTTAGTTGCTGAGTACCATATGGAAATAATAACAATCAAAATTCCTTATTTGGTATGGCAAACTTTGTTTTAAAGTTGTCTGTTTGCGCAGAAAATGGGATGATTAAGGGGAGCTTAACTGGAGTACCAGCTGCTAATACTGCTGACAAATTATGGTTAGCATTCCAAGCACTTGGGGACATTGCTTTTGCCTATCCATATGCCATAATTCTCCTGGAGATACAGGTTTGGTACCTAGTCTTTAGTAAATGAAACAGAATTATGATTCAGTCAACACAAATTCTTTCGACAAAAGAAGCTGAAGTGAATCAAAATATTTGTTTAATGAAGGATACTTTGAAGTCGCCTCCACCAGAAAACAAGACCATGAAGAAGGCTTCAATGCTTGCAATCTTTATCACAACTTTCTTCTACCTTTGCTGTGGATGTTTTGGATATGCAGCCTTTGGCAATGATACTCCTGGAAATATCTTGACAGGATTCGGATTCTATGAGCCTTACTGGCTAGTTGACTTTGCCAATGCTTGCATTGTTCTTCATTTGGTTGGTGGATATCAGGTATATTTTTTACCAACCCACATCAAGCTACTCATTTTTTTTTCTCCCAAGGAGCTCTTAACTCAGTGCATAATTTCTTCTCATCTGTTTGATCATCAGATGTACAGCCAACCGGTATTCGCCGTTTCTGAAAGATGGTTTACTCAGAAATATCCAAACAGTGTATTTGTGAACAAGTTTTTCACCTTCAAGCTCCCATCATTACCATCCTTGAGAGTAAATCTTTTCAGGATATGCTTCAGAACAGCCTATGTGGTGTCCACAACTGCAATTGCAATGGTTTTCCCTTACTTCAACCAAGTCTTGGGAGTTTTGGGGGCCTTGAACTTTTGGCCTTTGGCCATATATTTTCCTGTGGAAATGTACTTTGTGCAGAAGAAAATTAGTCCTTGGACAAGAAAATGGATTGTTCTTAGGACATTCAGCATCTTTTGCTTGTTTATTACCATAGTCGGCTTAATTGGATCGATTGAAGGGCTTATAAGTGCCAAACTTGGTTGAAGAAAACTGCTTATTATGTTCTTCCTGAACTTGAAGTAGTATCATAATATATAGGAAAATAATACAGTCACCGACGGTAGTGCACCGAATGACATGGCAAAATCTTGACCGTTGATTAATTTTAACTTAATATTAATCAACGATCAGGACTTTGCCACGTCATTCGATGCACAAATTCGGTGCACTACCGTCAGTAACTGTAGCATTACTCTAATATATATATCGAGTTAGGGGAAAAATTCTGTAAAAATACTGTTCTGGAATGCTAATGAATTTGCATCAGTGGCACATATCCCTATTTCAAGTTAAGAATTTCTTCATTAATCTACGCTTTCAGCTCTGGCCATATATATGTCTCTGTAAGGTTAAAAACAGAAAACCAATGTTCTAAAAACCAGACCGGGCCTTGACCCGTTCAAGGGTCCGGTTCTCGGTTTGACCAGTTGAACCAGTCGGTTGGACCGTATCCTATAAAATCTTATGGTGGTGTTAAGGAGTTATACCGACACCGAAATTTTCTGGAATCAATAAGGAAGGTCAACGGTTGCATGAATAGGTGGACGGCGATCGACGGTCACTCGAAGTTGGATTATGGGGCTTTTGATGTAGAGGTGCCGATGAATTTTATGGTGATGTCAAGGAGTTCTAACGACGTCATAATTTGTCGGAATCAAGAAAGAAGGCCAACGGTTGCATGAACGATAGGTGGACGACGAGCAACGAAAGGCTAGATGGTGGCCACTAAAAATGGATGGGTTTTGTCGTGGAGATGTTGTCAACTTTTATGGTGGTGTTATCTTCCTCGAACAATTCCAAAATCCAGCGGGATTGACTCGCTATTGGATCACGATTCGACACTGTTCCATCGGTCCAACTACAGCTCAATCCAGTTTGATTGATAATACCGATTTTCAAGAAAAACAAGACGAGAGATGACGCCGATTCCTAGTTGAACTGGTTCGGTTTTGAGAACACTGTAGAAAACAAAAGAATTAACCCTTCTATAACCATTTAAACATCAGCTCATGGCATTTTCTTTACCCTTCTTCTCCTTAAAGGACCGGGGTACTGTCACATCCTAGCTTTTAGGATTCAATGTATCAGGTTTGGGTTCTTGAATCCATAACTATTTTGGGGCCAGTTTAACCTCCTACGTCCTTCGGGATCAAAATAGGGGGGAGTACAAGAATATGCACATGTTTTACAGCAAATACTACCAATAATTGAGGAGCTTCATACTAAATATTAAAAAAATTGACCTTTCAACCTCAAAATACACATGTCATATTAATGACCAGTTAACTACCCCAATAATGGTCAGAAACGCAACCGTGATGGCTTTTCAATTATCAAATAGTGACCAGACAATGCAAACTGTGGCCCCCTCCACTACCGACCAATGACTAGAAAAGTTCCATTTGTGCAAAAACCAAGATGAATCTTCCCGATTAGACACAAAACTTATAGGGTCACGGCTCTTTTATGCGCACAGCTTTCAACTGAATTTAAAGCACTTTTTATCAGAATCCAGAAATTTCAAACTCTTACCCACCACAACAGAGAAATGGGAAAGACGTCTGAAACTCATGACCTTCCATTGTTACAAGCACAAACTGCAGACTCATCGTTCAAGAGAACTGGTTTAGTTTTTTTCTTCTTCTTGTACTTTCACCCCTCAGCGAGATTTTGGCCGGGTGGTTGTGTACTAACTTTTCAAGTGATTAAATTGTGAAGGAAATTTATGGACTGCTGTGGCACATATCATAACTGCGGTGATAGGTTCTGGAGCGCTGTCTCTAGCATGGAGCACAGCTCAGCTTGGTTGGATCGCTGGCCCTTTAGCTGTGCTATCCTTTGCCGCCATCACTTTAGTCTCCTCATTTCTTCTCAGCAACTGCTATAGAACTCCTGATCCTGAACACGGCCCCGGCCGCAACCGATCCTACATTGAAGCTGTTGATCTCAGTTTAGGTATGCAATCTTCAATCTCATTTTTCTCCTACAAATATGTTTCCGATTTCATGAAACTCCTATCATTTTCTCGTATTAGTACCAATTACCAGTATTAGGGTTGATTAAGAGAGATTAGTAATTTATTCGCCAAAATTTAAGGAAGGTCAACAAGATGGAAGTGTCCAATTTTGTCAGAAAGATGATCTCTGATGTGGCGTTAAGATTTAAAGAACGTGAAGGTAGTTGAAAAAGAATGGTAGATGAGATGTTAGGTTTAAAGAATCCAACAAAAGAAGTTAGATAATTTGATGTTGGGACGTGTATAAATACCAGTGTACTTTTTTGGGTACTATAGGATTTGGCATCCTTGAAGATAAGGAAGAATTTGATTGTGTCACAGTATCCTTGCTCTCTGCTCTGATTATACCTTTTTCTAGCTAATATTCAACTTTGGACTTATAAGCTCTGTCTGTTCATGTCATGTCACCCCAAAAAAATCATAAACTTTAATTATGCACTAAAACTAGGGATTTGAGCAATTCTCAGTAAGAAGTCGTTAGGTCAAAATTTAAGGTTCGGAATTGTGAAAATTTGTAGCTTAATGTTCATGACCATTGCTTGAATTTTCAGGAGAAAAGAGAGCCTGGATATGTGGGTTTTTTGTACAGATAAGCTTGTATGGGACAGCAATTGCCTATACTGTAACATCTGCAATAAGCATGAGGTATGTGGCTGATATATACATAAAAGAAGCTCTGTTAGTTGACTGTTATAAACACGAATGACAAATTTTTACAGTTCTCCATGAAAAATTTTATTCTGAATTTATGGTTTTTACTGTTAGATGTCGATAATGAACTGTTTGTTATCAGAGGTTAATGAGGTCTGCATTGTTTTGACTTGCAGAGCGATTAAGAAATCAAACTGTTACCACAAAGAAGGGCATGAGGCTGCCTGTGAATATTCAGATACTTCCTATATGCTAATGTTTGGATTTGCTGAAATTATACTATCTCAAACACGAAATTTGAATAACGTAGAATGGTTATCAGTTTTTGCTGCAATCATGTCCTTTACCTATTCTTTCATTGGATTAGGACTTGGCCTTGCCACAGTAATAGGTATGGCAGCAAATCTGCTACCGTTAGAAAATGTAGTTGGTGTCCTTACTTGCATACCAGTAACTTTTTTGGCTTGCAATTGCAGAAAATGGATATGCTAAGGGTAGCATTTCAGGAGTGTCAACTTCTAGTTCCATTCAGAAACTGTCTTTGGTATCGCAAGGACTTGGAGACATTGCCTTTGCCTTTCCATTTGTACTGGTACTTATTGAGGTTCAGGTGAGTTTTCGATACCACAGAGTACATCATCTATATAACAAGCCAATAGATGCATGTAAAGACATTAAATAAAAATCTAGGCATTCGAGAGACTGACATGAATTATGAACTTTGCAAAAAATAAAGGATACTTTGAAATCACCTCCACCAGAAACCCATACCATGAAAAAGGCCTCAACAATAGCCATATCTGTGACAACCTTTTTCTACCTATTGTGTGGAAGCTTCGGATATGCAGCATTTGGGGACGATACTCCAGGAAACCTTCTAACAGGGTTTGGATTCTATGAACCATATTGGCTTGTAGACCTCGCAAATGCCTGCATTGTGGCTCATCTTGTTGGAGGGTACCAGGTACCAATGCAATTATTCAATAGATTATATGTAATATGCTTTACCTACCTCAAATAGTAGGACTTAGAGCGTGTCCCACTATTCAAATATTAGAGCTTTGAGTGTGTGCTAATTAATAAGCTCTGTTCAAGTCAAGGGGATGCGCTCTGAGCTCCACTATTTAAGGTGGGTAATTGACAAATCCAAGTTTCATTGGAGTTGTGGCTGTATAGACCAAAGTTTTTTAACTTTTTTTTTCTTTCGGGGGTTTATCTTTTTGTTGGCAGGTTTATAGTCAGCCATTATTTGCAACTACTGAAAAATGGATTTCTGGGAAGTTTCCAAATCATGGATTTTTATGCAAGGATTTCCATTTAAAAGTTCCATTGATACCAGGATTCAGATTGAATCTTCTAAGGCTGTGTTTCAGAACAATATATGTTTTGTCAACAACAGCAATTGCAATGGTCTTCCCTTACTTCAACCAGGTTATAGGAGTGATCGGAGGCTTGAATTTTTGGCCCTTATCCATATATTTTCCAGTGGAGATGTACTTTAAGCAGAAGAATATTGAACCCTGGACAAGAACATGGGTGATGCTTAGAATTTTTAGCCTTTTCTGCTTCTTCATCACATTGTTTGCCTTGATTGGATCAATAGAAGGCCTTATAGGTGCCAAATTAAGCTAAGAAAAAAGGCATCATACTTGTCAATGATACGACAAGAGAAATATCATGATAGTATAGAGTAGTTTGCTATTGATACTCACATTATTGCTCAAATATCTTATGTATTATGGGTTTGTTATTGTACTAAACAACTATAGGCATTATAGGTGCCAAATTAAGCTAAGAAAAAAGGCTTCATACTTGTCAATGATGCGACAAGAGAAATATCATGATAATATAGAATAGTTTGCTACTGATATTCCCATTATTGCTCAAATTTCTTATGTATTATGGGTTTGTTATTGTACTAAACAACTATATTTGTGACGATTCAATACAGAATTATTATATGTTCATCCCTCTGGTTTTGTTCTATTTGTCCATGATACTTTTTTTCAAATACTAACCTTTTGGTCTTTGAACTTAAGGAGAATTTCCCTTTATGAAGTAATGGAAGTGTGTTTTCTAAACTATACCATTGCAACTTTGCAACTTAAACAATCAATGGTCAGCCAAATTTTGTTATAGTCAAAGGATCAAAATGCTAATATTTGAAACATTTGTCCTTTAAAGAGTAAACCAAAACTACAGGGATAAAAATGTTAACTCTCAAGATTCACAAACGAATCAAAGGGCCCCTTAAGATTTTGTTTACAGTAAAAAGTGACTCACCTCACGTGCGCCAACTGTTTATACATATAAAACCAAGTGGTTGACTGCAATTACACGAGGAGGTGGCTTTGTCTGAGCAGAAGGAGAAAGTCAGCCACCCAAGAACTCCAAGTGGAGTCAATGAAAGAAAGAGAGAGAGAGAGAGAGAGAGAGCTGACCAGGCGTCTCGTGGGTGAGCTACCGGTCTATCTCTCACACGCTCAATGGCGTTGAATTTTTTAATATAATCATGCACCTTTGATGTGATTTCTATCTTTCTTCATACAAACAACAATTCCATGCACGTATATCCTAACCCCTTTTCACATATATATAACAATATCACTCACCATTTCTTTTCTCAGTGACCAAACAAAACAATTCATTCCCCCCTTTTTCTTTACTATAACCACCATCGACATTTCTAGTTAAAAATAAGCAAAGTGTGTTAGAAAAAAAGATTTAAGTTAGAGATGGGACGCATACCGTGTTGCGAGAAGGACAATGTGAAAAGAGGGCAATGGACTCCTGAAGAAGACAACAAGCTTTCTTCTTATATTGCCCAACATGGCACTCGCAACTGGCGCCTCATCCCCAAGAATGCCGGTTTGTTTTTACTCTCTAATGATATAAGAATTTCTAAACTCAATTGAGAACCTTGACTAATAAGTTGTTTTTAATTTTGATATGTTAGGTCTCCAGAGATGTGGGAAGAGCTGCCGGCTGCGTTGGACGAATTACCTTCGTCCTGATCTCAAGCATGGGCAGTTTTCAGAAGCGGAAGAACAGGCCATTGTGAAGCTACACTCTGTTGTTGGCAATCGGTATGTCATTATGTCAATGCATATGCATGTTCTAAATGACAGTATCTAAATGGTTGATTCGAAAAATGTGTAATGCAGATGGGCACTGATTGCAGCTCAGCTACCCGGCCGGACGGACAATGATGTTAAAAATCATTGGAATACCAAGTTGAAAAAGAAGCTTTCAGGCATGGGTATCGATCCGGTTACCCACAAGCCGTTTTCCCACCTGATGGCGGAAATTGCCACCACGCTGGCACCGCCTCAGGTGGCTCATCTTGCGGAAGCAGCCCTCGGCTGCTTCAAAGATGAAATGCTCCACCTGCTAACTAAGAAAAGAATAGACTTCCAGCTCCAACAATCGGCACCAATGAACACTACAGCCACTTACGTTACGAGTAAAAATGATGAAAAAGATGACACTACCGAAAAGATCAAGCTAAATCTATCAAGGGCAATACAAGAGCCTGAAATGCTGCCATCGAACAAGCCCTGGGACCCTACAGGAGCAATGTCGGCAAATTTTGCCGGAGGCTGCAGTGGTTTCCCTATATCTGATAATGGATTTCACTACGGCACAACATCATTTGGTAATGATGGAGCTGCATCATCAACATGGAGCCAGAGTATGTGTACTGGAAGTGGAAGCACATGTACAGCCCGAGAACAACAAAGGCGGCTGCATGGAAAGGTTGAAGATGACAGTTGCGAGGAGTCCGAAGGTGGAAAAGGAATCAGGAATGGATCCACCATATTCAATACAGATTGTGTCTTATGGGATTTACCATCTGATGATCTAATGAATCACATTGTTTAGGAATGCTTATAAAGCAGAGGAAAGAAGGCAGAATTCCTACTATATGAAGAACAATAAACTCAACCTCAGTGATAGAAGATACAGATGTAAATAAAACTCATTTACAACTTATGATAGAATTTACTCTGAAAATAATTTTTTCTCACTATATTCTCAGTCATTGTGTTTCTATTACATCTTTGTCTTACAAGTAATGTAGATCAAGCGAAATACGAAGATGACGAGGAAGTATCCGCCAAAATCTGCAAGCATTAATAAGAAAATTAATGATCAAATTCTCCAAAATTAAAGCTAAATGTCTGGAAAAGGATAACTTTTTTATGAGGCTACCTCGAGTTGCTCTTCTGTAAATGAATCTTTCTGTAGATTCCATGTATCAGCATGAGTCCGACGGAACTCTGCAACTGCTTTTGTGACTGTAGATTTAATTGGTGTTGGCTCCCCACCGAATCGAGCCAGTAATGTAACATGCTCAGGCAACCAACTGAAAGGGAAGATAATGTCTAATATAAGCATGAAATGACATTACAATTGTCAGAGTAACACAGTCTATTACAATGACCAAGGATTGCTAACAATTTGGCATCGGAACACACTTCAGTTCGCAAAATTATCCCCAATAGTTTTCAATTAAACGGAATGATTGTCAATTTTAGCAAAGCCAAGATAAGAAAACAAGAGCAGCTCCACTGACTTCACGGGAAAGAGAAGACCCAGTTGAATTTTTATTCTACAAGTACTTGTAAGAGCAAAAAAGTTATAACAATTCCAGGTAATAATCTGACATCCAAGTTTGTTATTAAGAAACCAATATGATAAGAACAATTTCTTATTTTGAATGTCAACAAACCTGGGCATATCATAAGGGACTGATAACACAGAAGCAACCAAAGCAAGCACAGCGCCATGTCTAGAAGCGATTGTCTGGCCGGAACTCAAATTCCTACACTCACAGATTACAGATCTCAAGATTAGAACAAAAATATCAACAAAGAAATTTTGAGTATCAGAGCGCGTTACACAAGTATGTTGGATGCACAAAAATTATATATAGAAATGCATACAAGGAAAACTTATATGTTTAAGTGTAAGCAGATGGGGATTCCACTGTGCACCATATGAATGGATGACATACATATCCTAAGAACAAACCCATGAATTTGCATTTATTAACTACAAATATATGGAAGTTTTTCCCTCACTGGAAGGTACATAGAGAAAATAACATTTCAAATACATCAGAAATAAAGATATCACCTCTTATTCTTCCTTTGAATGATATTCGCCTGCTCATAAGCTCTATCACGGAAGTCCTTAGCTAAATCTTCATCCCCACCCTTCATTAAACCTGCTAGAACAGCTGCAGCATGCTCCCTTACCTGGCCAAGATGTGGCTATTTCTGTTAAAACGTAACAAAATCCTACCAACAATAGCCTGATAACTCAAGACAACGATAATAAAAACCGCTAACTCCCATAATATTTTGACATTATTGCCAAAACCCATCTTAATATTTCAGGCTTTGAGATAATAAGAACAGCTAACTCTGATAAGATTAAGACATAATTGCCAAAACCATCTTTAATATTCAGATTCTGTGCACATCTTATGGGTAAAATTGAGGGTATTGTGTCTAATACTGAACCTAAGTTGGTAATTCGACGTTATCATTCAATACTGCAATAAACATTCTTAGAATGCAAGAACTGCAGCAATACATTCAGCCAGGAACTTGCCTCAACTTGATTGTCTGTAAGTAACTTCTCCACAGTTCTCCAGATTTTCTGTTTCTCCATCTTCGAGAGAATGAAAGTGTGCCTGTTGTTTACAACAATGTTAGTATCTATATCATAACACAAACATTAAAAGTGAAATGAAGAAATCATGAAAGAGATAGACTACAGAAATAAAAGAAAAAAAGGACCAAGAAAGCGATCCTTTCTCTACAAATGGCAATTTATTAAGTAAAACTTCTATTGCAAGAAAACATAGACACTCTACCAATGAACTTAGCAGATTTGTTTCGGAAAAGTTGAGTCAAGAAAAGCAGTCACAATCAATAAACCAAAAATTTGTGATGCAAAGGAGAACCCATTAAAAGGTACCTTACCTATACATAAAAGTTCGAAGATACGTTAAAGTAGCTGATCTCGTCCTCCAGTTAGAATCATCCGCGGAAGATAGAATAACTGAAACAGCTTTCTGAAGATGAGGTTCACTGAAAATCCTCCATTTAAGCAACTCAAAAGCTGCTTTGGCCAATGTTGATAAATCTTTGTTTGAAGTTGAAGTTTCCTTTGCAAGGGGAGTTAAAAAAAGGGAACACTTTTTAGGAAGAAGATGGGGATGCAATCAAAAAGCTTGTAACAGAATAGCAAGTATGCAGTGATCACAACAGCTTGAGAAACAGAACATCTATACATAACTTATGCGTGCGAAGAAAATGATTAACTGATTACATAAAATTCAGTGGCAAAACAGCATATAGTAGTGGCAAGGGTGCTGAAACAAAAATAAAGCAATATAGAAAACCAGCATGATCATTTCGTTAGTTTCTCCTATTTCAAACTCATTGAAAATGGAAACAGTCAGACTTCAAGTGCTAAATTCCAGTTTTAAAACATGTTCTGAAATTTATACAATCAGTGTATATATATATATATTTCCATAAATTCTATTCTTCTTCAACCAGATGAGAAATGATTGTTAAAAAATTGTACTTCTCATACCTGCAAGGATATTACAGGATAGAGGAGTCCCACAACCACATCCAGCAAACATGGAGATCTTCCGGACTTCAAAGTTGAGATTATAAAATGAAATAACTACACATATCAGGAAAATTGAACTGATTAGTAAAGAACATAAAAACAGAATAAGATTTAAAATCAAAATATTATAAGAACCAGTACCGTTTCCATCCATTTGACATCGTCTTGTGAATCCCCATTCAAATGCCCATTTTGAGTACTAATATCAGTTGACATCTCTGAACTGTCAGAATTACTATTATTCTGAATGTTCATAACAGCTTCAGATGCTCTTTCTGTTAGAAACTGAACCCATCTTTCCTCTTTAAGATGATTATCTATATCAATGTTTTTCCCTTCATGTGAATGATCATGCGGAAATGACATATAGAGCCGAATGTTCGAGCACAGCACAGAAAGGTTAACACCTATAGCCTCTCTTACCTGTCAAAAATTGACTTCACATTGGATGCAAGCAATAAAACAAATCCAAAGACCATAGTAACACAAAAGAGATATAATTTAGCTTTTCTGTTTTCCATATAACTAAGGATTAGTTCTCTTAAATCATGTATATACTGTAAGTAAAATTTAGCAGAAAAATGAAAAAAATTTATGCTAAGAGAAACATGCTTACTTGGGCTGATGAATGGCACATGTCATGAAGCAACTCATCCAGAAGTGTGATATGTAGCTGTATTTCTGGTAATGGCATCTTTTGTGGGGATATTTCTATGAGTGCAGCTGAAAGGAAGGCATAGCGCTTTGCAACCACTGTTGTAGTCACAGTTGGAGGTAAAGGTGTCGCTAGACAATTCAAAATTTGTTGCCTCAGAAGAGGAACTTTTGTTCCATACTTCCCTTTTCCAGTAACAGCATAGCGTATGCAAGCTGCCCACTCAGGAGTGGATTCCACTGATGGGGTAAGAATAATATTCTGCAACTGGACCATTATCCAGCTGTCCCACACTCCTAAAAGACCATCAACATCAGAGTGCAACACCCCAGCCAATGCTTCAGCAGCAACACATTGCTTAGACCGCTCTTTGGCATTTACAAACTCCTCCAATGTACTTTTAAGTGCCAATATAACAGGCATTCCACATTCTTGTATCAGCCGCTTGAAAATCCGGGCAAAGTTGGAGTAAAAAGTATCAATTCCTAATAAAGAGATCCAACTAGGAGTACGTGGCCATGAAGCTGAAAAATCAAAATAAAACCGGGTGATTGATTTGTCTGCTAGGCTCTGGAAGGAAGAATTTCCATGATTTCCTCTGGAAGATGAGCTATCAGTATCTGTGATTATATGAACATGTGAAAGACTGTTAAGAGTCTCATTAAAAAATCCCTCTTCCTGAAAAATTTCGCTCAATGCTGCCTCCAGAGATGATTTGGCATTTCCTTGTGAATTCCCAGAAGATACTGGTTGATCCTCCACTGACATTTTATAAGGTGATTCTTTCAGTAGTGTATTTAGAGCTGAGATTGCAAGAATTCTAGTTTGAGGAAGTTGACTTTTTAAATTCTTTAAGAAGTGACCTGAAATCAGACCAACATAACCAGTGTCACTAATGAACAAGAAAATGCTATTAAGCAACAAATAACAAGAACACAGACCAGTGGTTTCACTTAGGATCTTCGAAGAGAAGTTTGGATCATTTCTAGATGCCATAGCTAACAAAAGAAGAACTCTATTGGCCATTAGATTATACCTGATTAAAAAAATAAGAAGAAAAGGGGAAAATTGAGTCCATGTCAGAGAGATTAAAACATATAAAATAAGATTTTTGTGAATAAAGATTGAATCAAAGGGAAACATCGGCCACCACATTATTATTTGTAGTTGATTAACAGGCCTGTCCTCAAAATGCCAATTACCAAGACACTACGTGCCATGTTGAGAAAAAATCAAAACAGTATTTACCGCCAGTGCAAGCGAGTAGAATCAAAACTCAAAGAACCAATCTGAGAAACCAAATCTGCAAAATCTGATCCTTCTTTATGAGTGTCCATCGTCTTCAATATGCTCTTAGACACCCCAGCAAAGTGGATATTGTATTTGACAAACAGCTGCCAGTCACCTCACACAATCAATTTAAATCACAAGTAATTGACGCATTTGGCTCTAAATTATACACGGGAGATTTTACCTCATTGATTGCTTTCTGAGCTTTTAGTGATTCATGATGGGAGCTACAAGCAGAAATGCAAAAGCATAAGACTAAGCACATAAGATACTTTCTAGCAAAAAAAAGTTACACTAATTTACGCAGAACTGCCATATATATGTAAGTAAGGGCACCTTGAAAGAATCCCAAGTAGAAACGAAGAGAATGCCTTTTGATCCTAGAGGAAAAAAGAAAATGAAGATGCATTAGTGAAAATCGACTTTCTAAA